GTTCTTAGAATTCTTAGAATTGACAGACAGTTGACCCTGAGAGGTCAAGTAAATATGTACAGCGGATCTAAATTAATTATATTAATTATAACTAGTTATGATTAATTATTCATATTTCCCATGAGCTGATTCGCTACAGAATTAACCCGACATAGTGTGGTGGCAGAGCTGTATTGGAATCGTTGTTTCTAAAGTAACTGAAGCAAAGTGCTTAAGTTTAAAGTTTCTGTATCGACAGTTGTACAACAATAATTTAAAACCAGACTATTTAGACCTTACAAACCTTACTATTTCAACATGGTGGACAGCTGCTGTGTGCCAGGAGGCCAGAACAGGCAGGGGAAAGCTAGGGTTGCCAACCGTCCCGTATTAGCCGGGACGTCCTGTATATTGGGCTTAATTTGTGTGTCCCGTACATGACCTCCCTTGGCCCGTTTCTTGCCCACTCACACAGTATTCGTTAAGTAAATCAGAAAATCCTGAACATAACTGTTTGAGGAAGGCTGCAGAATCCTCTGCTGTGGCTGGTCGCTCCCACTTCAGCGGCGCTCACGCTAACGCCAATTCCGTCCATGATTTGACTTCAGTAAATCAGTTTTGGCAAATACAAACTACGTGATTATTTTTCATGAGTCCAACATTCAGCCGCGCAAGAAAACATGCAATCAACCCGAGACGTGATCAATAAGGGAAGCCATCTTTTATTGCAAAACAGAGAAATAATTTTATCGTATTCCTAAGGATCCCGATAGGCGACTAAAATGGTTCACTGCTATAAAACATGCTAACCAACACAAAATTTGGGATTAAACGGGTAAGATTTCATGACATTTATGATGTCTACTGTACTCACAGTGATATAGCTATGCTGGCTACCTACAAGGACAGCTAGGGTCGATTACGTTAGCTAACAACACATTTGACTTACCCTTCCAGTGGCGACATAGCAGGTTGAATATTCATCAAAAAATTTGACTGCGTCCATACCCCTTCAAGCTTTTGTAGGCTTTTAAAGAGTCTCCGGAGTAACGTTAGGAGGGAAAGTTGATTAGGTTGTAGATATCAGGATACTGCAGGTCAGGAAATCTATCCGTTCCTTTATTGATAGGCTACATGTTAAAAGCACCACGGTGGCATTATAGGGATCTGTTATGCTTAATCTATTAAGTTTGTAATGTTTGAAAAAGAAGAAGCAGCACTATCAGTCCGGTGAAGAGAAGAGGAAAGAAAGTGAGGTCATGAAGTCATGAAGTTTGAACATATATTGATGAAATGGCGGAATTGTTTCTTATCAGTTTCAGGGCTCCAGACAGCGACTAAAACGGTCACATTTGCGACCAAAAATATTAACTTGCGAGTGACATTTTTTCTGAGATCGCCACTGGCGACTATATAAATGTACATGTTATGACTAAAAAATTAGCATGTAATGCCTTTTTTCCTGCTTGTTTTGCGATCACTCTTTACTTAACCTGTTGTCTACATGATAAGAAAGAATGCAAGGAGCATGCAATGTTACTAATGAAGAAAAACAGACTGGATGTGTGCAAGACAATTTGACAACATTTATAAGATGCATTGAGGAGGAGCCCAAACTATACTCAATGACCAAGTGATGCAGACATAATTATGGCCCATGATATTGGCAATCATGTAATTTGCGATCACATCGTTTGTTATGTTGACGTAATAAACTGAGACGATGCGCATCAAAGTTTTAGTGGAAAAAAGACTTTCAAACAGTCCTCACCTCTGCAAAACGCCAGCGTTGACGGCACACCTGCTAAAGGAGCAGGCTACAGTTGATACAGTTGAGATTGAAAATGACAGAGGCCTAAAAAATAATAAATGTAAAAGTGCAGAAAAACAGTTTATTTTTCCTGCACAACTTGAGCAAACTACAACAGGTAAAGCTGTCAGCTGTGTGGACATTAACAATATCGTTAACAATTCTA